AGTTTCCTTTATATTCGCGTCATTTTTTTATGAGATATCAAAAAAGCACTGCATTTTCATTAATGTTATCATTTGAACTAACTAATGTTTGCTTGTTAACCTACTTCGCTTTCAGAAATAGAAACAAAAAATTTTAAATTAACAAAAATTTATTTATTTTTAAAAACCTGCTTATTTTAAATGTTATGTGTAATTAAAACTATTTTTAGTTGTGGCACCATTATTTTATATAACTTTGGCGCACTGATGACCCAGAAAATCCACTAGATTTGCGCAAATCGATGAATCGATGCCATTCGATTTACACTTATTATATTTTCGGTCTTATAGTTGGAAATTTACTTTTAAAGAATTTTCTAAAGACGCTCTATTATATTTAAGTCCGACAACTGTAAAGACCATACAAATAAGGCGATATTTTTGTCCCTGAGCCAGGTCTTTGCTATTCGAGCGAGGAGTATTTAGGGTCGTTATCCTGCGTAAACTTTCACTTAAAAACAAAGCTCTAAACATATTCTCTTTACATTAGCCCGATCACTTGAGAAATTTTAGCTCATGTGGTAAAGAAGATATGAAAATCAATATGTGGTGAGGTTGAACCAACATGATGCATCGAGTAAGAATATTTTGACCTGAGATTTAGTTAAATACTGAATTAATCAACCAAATTATTCTTTTGAGTGTGGTAACATTTTATTATTTAATATATGGACATAGTCCGTTGCGCACGTCCTATCTTTTATTTAGTATATTGGACCAACACCTGATAAGAAAAAACAACCCCATTACATGATGTTGCCACCACCGTATTTTACTGTTTTAATTGTGTACTTTGGATCAGCACACAATTTTACCGACGTCTTCCTATCAATTCTAAACCAAAGCACATTTCTGCAATTATTTCGCAACAAATGTGTTCTTACAAAAACTATTCTACGGAATATATTTGTTTTGCTGAGAAAAGACACTTCTCTTGCAGAATTAGCTTTCAAATACATTGCTATCTGTCTATTTCATATTGTTCTACTTATTACTGATAGAAAATTTAGTTTTTCAATTCTCATGTGGTTTATTCAAATTACATTATAATTATTATGAAGACGATATGAAATGTGTAAATTTATTTGTTTAATATGGTTTCTTTTTACCTGAGTGAATAAACGACCAATTATTATTTCGTCTATTGTAATGTACTGTAAGCAACAAAATTGTTATACATTTTTTGAAGCCCATAAAGCTACAAATAAAATGGTCTGATTTTATGCTCCAGAAGTATTTGTAATACATGTGAAATTGAACCATAATAGTTGTATTTTATAATTAATTATTTGCTTTGATTGAAGAAAATTCCACAATTTATTTCGTCTTCCCAAATATTAAATAATTAACACAAATAAAAAAAAATTTAAACTGAAAATATATATATAGGAATATAAATGTTCAGTAGGTATTCATGCTGGGCACTCCACAAATTAATGTTAGAATTTTAGATTTATTATTTCTCACTCAAATGGTTGCTCTATAGGATTATGCATATATTATATAATATAGGATTATATACATATAAAAATCACACCAGTAAACAAAATACCTTTTATATTTTGAATTTCATATTTAATAAAATCGTGTCTAATAATAATAATAATTAACATAATAATTAATAACTAAACAAGTGTAAGTAGGTAGATAGCAATAAAACCGGAAAAAAATTCAGACAATGATATGGACTAAAATCATAATTTAATATGAATATCATCAAGATCATAAGAAACACACTATCGTCAATTATGAACAACTAGGAACTACTCTTATGATTCTAAAAAGGCCCATCCTAACTGATTTGTATGGTACTAGGCTCAGAAAAATAAGTTTATAAACTAGAATATATTTTAAATATAATATCACTAATGTATATTAATGTAAAGAAATTTACTATAGTAAATTTCTTAACAGTAACTAATATACGAATATACGATTATAGGTTATTATAAAACTTATGATATAACCTTAATTTCGTTACATGATACCTTTTGCTTCTACAAATTACATTATAACATAAAAAAAGTATATGTAAAACCATTGTCAGTCCTTACCTTAATTATAAGCGCTTTCAATGGGTAAATCTGGATTCAATCTAGATTTACTCTCGATCTGTCAAATTTTGTGACCCAATCGAATGTTTTTAAACTAATCCAGTAATTTTCTAATTTGCATACTAATAGGCATTTATATTTTTCAGAAATACATACGTCGAATCAAATAACACTATTTCTGTTAAGTCATATAAAACAGTTTTTAATTTCAGGGTATTCTTGCTACTCTAACTAAGTCCAGGTCCCTTTTCTCACCGACTTGGACGAGCTGTCATCTTGTAATATTAAGAACCTAGCCAAGTTTATAGAACTGGCAGGTTGGACTTCCTTAACCTAATGTGGAAGTCGTCACCTTTTTCGGCGTTGGTTATATTCTGAGTTCAATCTAGGTATATATCGATACTATTCCTGTGGTACCATAATGGGTCATTATTTGAGCTCAAGTGGGCTTTTTGGAAATAAGGCCGCTACTCCAAACTACCCGCCTTATACATTTCGCTTGCGAATTACCAATCGCAAAGGAAAATTATACTAAAAGTAAACCTCGGTTGAAAAAATTACCCCAGATTTATTAATGGAATGTATATTGTCATGTATATTAGGCACATATTTTTTTAATAAATAATTGTATTATTCTTTCGTTTCATAGTAAATTTCTTTATAATGAATAAAATTCTATAAGGTTTTTGGTTTTATAATATATACATGTCACTTAAAATATTATTTGCTACACGAATAATAATTTTTAATTTATCTGAAGAACGACATACTTCACAATGTAAGTTTCAATAACAAAAATAATTTATCACCTGAATAAAAAAGAATGAAACCATTTGCTCAATTTTTCACTTTTAAGGAAATTTAATTAAAAATTTAATGGAAAAACTGCGAACAGCACTTTGTGAAGTACACAAACCACATCGATATTTACATACTCGTTATTAAAATAATTAAAGTGATTATGTGTACGACCATCACATATACGAATTTAATCAATCAGTCTCTGACAAGCGCTTATTCCGGCCAGATGATATATTATATGTGCGTGAAACATTGATGGGAATTAATTCAAACTCATAAAATTTAAAACCGAAAGACATACGTAAACCCTAGAAGCCAAAATAAAACGAATGCTTTCCTTCAAAATTTTTATTTTTATTTTTATTATTATTTTTATTTTCTTTTAACAATTTTAGTATCCTTATATTATAAAAAACAAAAAAAATAAAATAAAATCCAAAGAAATGTGCGTAAAGAAAAGGAATCAATAAAAATTTTGTGAAAATACAAAATCTTGGAAGGATTGAGTTTGACATCTCAAGGCCACAATCTTACGCGTTTCATGGTTAACTTTTGTTTTCCATAGAAATTATTGAACTCCTTACAGAATTTTAGATATATTTGTATACTTTCATATATTTTTATATATAGTTTATAACATGTACAGATGCTGATTGCATTAACATGTGTAAATATTGACGCGTGAGTGCTTTTCGAAAGTAAGGCATTAAATTGGTTAAATTAAATTGATTACTTAATAAAGCGAAATTAAGTCTTTAATTTCATTTGAATTTATTGTTTTAAGAATTCAAATATTCGTTTAAAGATTTTTTTAAAAATTTATGTAACAGAAATAATCAGAAATTAGTATATTTGTATCAAAAAGTTCAGGTAGATGTAATATACATTGCAGATTATAGAACTGATAGTAAGGAAAAAGCTGATACTGTCGTTAAAATTATAGCTGTTTAAATTTCAAGAATCACTATATAACTAGATGTCATCTAGATCGATACTAAAAGGAATTCATAGCATTTCAAATTTATACTGAAATTGGAACTCTATTTTCTATATCATTAAATATTTCAACTAATGCATTTTTGTCAAACTACCAAAGGTCGCTTACTTCTCAACGGCAAAAAAATTTTTAACGCATCCCAAAAATGATTTCCGTAGGATTGTCATATTTTATTTGAAGATCCCAGCGCAAGTTCCACCGCCACACAGTGTACCAAAACAGAAATTAGCCGATCAAGATTCCATATTTTCTGAATCAGAAAACTAAGAAAATGTGAAAATAAAACATTTTCGGAGCAAAATTTGGACGGGTTTCGGTAGGCCGTTTAGGCTCAAATATGATTCAAAAGAAAGGCCATCTCAAAAACAAAGTTTTAGTAAAATTTTATTTTAATATCTTAACTGGTTCAGAAAATATAGAATTTTGATCAGCATACTTCTGTTTTGATACACTAAGCGTCATCGCAACAAAAAATTCTGTTTGCATTTTGTTTTTGGATTTTGACATCACTTTAAGACTGTAGAAATATTTAACAATTTCCAAATCCTATATAGAACGAGTGTTTCGAAACGGTTTTGGAGATTCTAAAGTAAACAAATCTCGCCTAAAATCTTTAACTGATAATGTACATTCTGGTGCAAACCGAAATTGATGAAGATCCAAGATTAATTAAGTAAAACATTTCTGATGAACTGGGATTGAGTGCTATGGCTGTATCGCAAAAATTGAACAAGCGGCTTTTGGATACACAAAGAATCAGCACATTGGATTCCTTAAAATTTAACTAAACCTCTTTAGAATAAACTTGTGTTTTGCTTATTATTTTCTTAAAAATATTTGAAAATAGAGGATGCAGCACCTTAAACACAATAATGTTAGATGATGAAATTTAGTCTTTCGATCCAAAAACAAAGCAACAGTTGATGGTATGTGTTATATCTGTATAATTTAGATATTTATTTATTCAAAAAACTCCAAGTTATCATTATTTCACAAGTTCAAAATAACTGACAGAAGTAAAATGTTAATTCTACTTTATCTGTCAACTGTCATCTTGGCAGAGTTGCCAACACCTCCCCTTTTGAGATTAAATCTCCAATGCGGTGATTCTAGGGTCTATAACGGTCAACAGGATGTCTAGTACGCCTTGGTCGGGTATACGGAACAACTGCCTCATTGTGCTTCTCAGTTTGAGGGATTGCAATCTCGGTTACTTCGTTGAAAGATTGATCTGGAGTCGAAACCATGTTGTTGTTAGTTATTTCGACCACATCTTTAGGTGTTGTTTCGTAGAGGCCAAATGCATCAACTAAACACTTTTCGTTGGCGATATCTTCGGAAGTACATATTTCTAAAGATAACTCATTTTCTTGATCTTTACGGTCACGAATTTGATTGGCATGTGCACGAATAAGTTTGCCATTTTGTAAGCGAACATTATAAATGACGTTACCTATGCGTTCGATTATTTTTCCTTTTGTCCATTCAAAGTGTTTGTTTTTAAATATATTGACATAAACGAGCTCTTGTTTTTCGTAAAACTTTGGCTTTGCACCGTGCCTTTTGTCAAATTGCGCTTTCATTTTGAGTTGTGTATCGCACTTGTTTTTAAACTTGGCATTTGGGTCTGGTAAAGACACCAGCGTTGGTTTAATTAAGTCAAGTTTAATACGGATATTTCTTTTTAGTAAAACTTCAGCTGGCGATTTACTGTCCTCATTTTGCTTATTCGGAGTTGATCGGTAAACCTGTAGAAATGTTTGAAGATTTTCAGCAGTTACCCCCTTCCCATTTAACTTTTTGAGTGCTCGCTTTAAAGTATCCACAAACCTTTCGGCTTGTCCATTTGACATGGGATAGTACGGACTGCTTCGTATATGACTAATGCCGTTTTCCGCTAAAAACTCTTGAAATTGGTGACTCACAAATTGAGTACCATTGTCTGAAACTATTGTCTTCGGTAACCCAAATCTAGCGAAAATTTCTTTCAAGCTGGAAATTGTTTGAGTTGCTGTTATAGATTTTGTTTGTATAATTTCTGGCCATTTTGAGAACGCATCGATTACGACCAAATAGTAGTATGAATCTATTGGTCCTGCATAATCAATATGGAGCCGTTCCCAAGAATCAGAAGGTTTTGGCCAAGGATGTAAAGTTGTTTTTGTGGGCATTTTAGCTGCTGCGGCACAATTTGAACAACTTTTCACCATTGCTTCAATATCGTAATCGATATTTGACCAATAAACGTAGTTCCGCGCGATGGCTTTAGTACGACCTATGCCTTGATGACCTCGGTGAATTTCTTTAAGAATGCGCTTTCGGAAAATTTGAGGTATAATAATGCGTTGTCCGAGCATTAAACATCCGTCAACTATACATATGTCGTTTTTTCGGTTAAAGTAAGCTTTTAACTCACTGTTGTTGCAGTTTGATGGCCATCCTTCAGTTACATATTCGAGAATTTTAGCTAAAACCTTGTCCTTAGCTGTTTCGTAAGTAATCATTTTGCTGGTAAGCGGCAGCTTATCAAGTGAGTTATGTAAAATTTGTTTACTTTCAATTTCAAACTCTACTGCAGCGATGACATAGTCTTCTGAAGGATTGATTGTATTATGTATGAGTCGTGATAAAACGTCTGCATACCCAAAACTGTTAGTTGAAATAAACTTTAATTCGAAGTCGTATGCAATCAGTTTAATTGCCCAACGTTGAAGTCTATTTGCTTGATGCACCTTAATTCCCGTTTTATCACCAAATATAGCTAGAAGAGGCTTATGATCTGTTTGAAGTTTGAATCTTCTCCCAAAAACCATTCTGTGAAATTTCGTAACCGCGAAAATAAGCGCAAGAGCTTCTTTTTCTATTTGGCTATATTGTTTTTCTGTGGGCGTTAGTGATCTGGACGCATGACATATTACTTTCATTGAACCGTCGTCAGCTTCATGAAAAATGCAAGCTCCGAGCCCATAGTTAGATGCATCTGCAGCGACTACTATGTTTTTTAGTGGATCGTAATGCGCTAATAATAACTCTGATGACAAAATTTGCTTGAAACCATCCAAACAGCGTTGATGAAGTTCCGTCCATTGCCACTGCTTGTTGTTTTGAAGTAGTTCGCCTAATGGTCCTCGGTATTTGCGCATGTGATTTATGAATTTTCCATAAAAATTGATAGCACCTAAGAGTGATCTAAGTTCGGATTGATTGGTTGGAGCAGGCATTGTCTTGATTGCTTCAATGTTTTTTGGATCTGGGCGAATGCCGTCTTTACTGACAATATATCCCAAGTAAGCAATTTCAGGAACTGAAAAATTGCATTTTGCGATCTTGAGTTTAAACCCGTATTGATAAATACGTTGTAGAACTTCATGTAAGTTGTTGTCATGCTCTTGTTGGTTTCTACCTGAGACAAAGATATCGTCGATGTAAGCAGCTGCGCAATCTAAGCCCGCAAGCATTTTATCCATAATTTGTTGGAAAATTGCCGGAAAAGTTTTGACGCCAAAAACCATACGCTTGTATTTGAATAAACCTAGATGCGTGTTTATTGTGAGAAGTTCTTGCGATTTGCTATCAACTTCGATTTGGAGAAAAGCGTCCGAAAGGTCTATATGACTAAATACTGTTGCATTGCTAATTTTTGCAAAAATATCCTCTGGAAGCGGTAGTGGATACTTGTAAGATTCAAGCGCGTCGTTAAGACCAGTTGAGAAATCAGCGCAAATACGAATGCTACCATTTGGCTTTTTGATAACGATTGGTGCGGCCCAGTCAGAGTAATTTATGGGTGCGATAATGTCGAGATCTTGAAGTCGCTTGATTTCTTCTTCAACCAAATGTTGAACTGCGTATGCTACCGGGCGCTTAGGTCGAAAAACAGGTTGACAGTTTGGTTTAATAATTAAATGTGCCTTAGTTT